CTTTTATTATTTTATTTATTGTTATGCCACAACTATAAAATATAGGAAATAAAATAATAAATTTATAATTTTATATAATATTATAATTATAATATTTTCAAATTAAATAAGTATACAAGAAGATCCACAAGCTAATGTTCAAATTTAAGAACGTACCTAAACGCCATCATCATTGACTTCTCGTGAAAATTTAGAAGTTAAACCCCCCATTTAGTCTCCCGACTATTGTAGGAACCTCTTGATTTAGTTCCTCAACTTAAAAAATTTTTGATTTAGTCACTATTGTTTACCATTTTGACCCTAATTTGGTCTCTTTATTAAAAATTTATCCCATTAGTTGACCAAAAAGAGTAAAAGGGTAACATGTAGGATTGACACCATGGCATATAAAACTTGACACGTAATTTTTAGTAAAAATTAAAATATTTAAAATTAATTATAAAACTAAAATTACATTTTTACCCTCATCTTTAACCACACATCAATTTCTTTCCATTTTCCTTTTGTTACCCCTTCATTTTTATCCCTAGCATCTTATCTTCATCTTCTTCCCTTAGATCCTTGTTCATTGGCCTTGGGGGTTTTGGGTTCGATTGATGAACCTAGTAGGCGCTACTAGGTTCAATTGATGAACCCTTATTGGGTTTGATTGAAGAATGCTAGGTTTGATTGATGTACCCTTGTTGGGTTCGATTGAAGAATGCTAGGTTCAATTGATGAACTATTGCTGGGTTCGATTGAAGAATCGTTGCTAGGATTGATTAAAGAACCCAGCAGGTGCTATTGGGTTCGATTGAAGAACCCGATAGGTGCTGGGTTCCTTTTTCTCCTTTTTTCATCTCTTCATCTTCTCTTTCCTCATCTCCTCTCCTCCATTTGAAAGTTCTCTTTCATGTCTCTCCCTTTTTCTTCCCACAAGAATCAAAGTTTTTGTAGAAATTTGGGAGAAGATACGTTGATTTTTCTAGGTTTTTTGGAAGGCTAAGAGGGTAGTGACCAATTTGGGAAATTCTGGGTTTATGTTTGTGTTATGCATGGATTTGATGTTAGAATATGTCTGGGTTTGCAGAAGGTGAAAGGAAAGGAAAAGGAAGAAGAACCGGTTGCTGGGTTCCATCGACCTAGCAGCTATTGGGTTCGAAAGAACCCAGTCGTGTTAGGTTCCTTTTGGGTTCTTTTGAACCCAGCTTTCGAACCCAACATTCGAACCCAACAAAAGAGAGAAATTGAAAGGGAAAATGTCCAAATCTAGCGTAGGGGGAGGGATAGAGAGAGAAAAAAAATGAAAGGATGAAATTGCAGGTTTCATTGATGGCAATTGTAGGTTTCGCCTTTAGGGTTTGTAGAAGGCAAGGTAAGGAAGAAGAAGGAGAAAGAGCAAAAAAGAGAATTTTTTAAGTATTTTTTGCCATATCATAATTTTTTTTTTCCATGTTGTCTTGCTGCGTGTATTTAATATTTGACACGTCATCATGCTCATGTTAGTTAACAAGACATGTAAGCGAATTTTTAACAGAAGAACCAAGTTGGAGTCAAAATAGTAAATAATAGGGATCAAATCAAGGTTTTTTTGAGTTGAGAGACTAAATCAGGGTCCTTATAATAGTTGAGGGACCAAAATAAGAATTTAACCAAATTTAAAACGTGGGTTCCAATCCCACACTAACGTTCAAAAAAAAAAAACAAGTGCTCAGATTGGACTGTTTGACTAGCTAAACTTGCTACGGAAGTAGGGGGAAACTGGGAGTGGTATTTAGCTCTCGAGGCAAAAATTAATTTCTTTGTCGAAGCCCTTTATTTTTTTTTATAAATTCATCAGTTCTATAGCAAGACGGGCAAATTTCCATTTTCAGATCGATCCAGCCTATCCGACAGGTAGGCTTCTCGTGCTCCAACTTTTCATCTTCATCATGGGTTGAATATATACATGCTTAATTTGTTGTTTTGATAATTTTCCCTGTCATTTCTTCAATTTTTCTACTGTCTTGTTTTGTTGGTTGATCGGTTTTTTGAATATATCTTCCTTAATTTTTCTATTATTAGCAAAGGAAGGCCTGGATCTGCTTAAGTATTAATTGTTTAATGAGATCAGCTAATTATAATCTTCAGTTATTCTACTGTGTTGTTTGTTAATTTTTAGTTGAATATTAAATCTTACTTAATTTTCTATCATCAGCTAAGGAAGGCTTGGATATACTTAAGTATTACTTGTTTGATGACTAGATGGAGAGAATTAGAAGAAAAAGGACTTAAATGCAAAGAGCTGAAAAGATGAGGATCTGAGGATAAATTAGAAGTTTAAAGGCTCAAGTGAGATTTTCTCCATTCTTGATCAAGGAGCAAATTGCAAATCTCAGAAATATGATGATCAACTTGCGCGGAATCCAGGAGTCAGGGACCAAGACTGTTATTCTGCCATTAACCAAAATTGCACACAAGGCCAAAAACCCGAGACGGAGGATGCAGTTGACGCTCCACTCAAAGTGTCGGCACCTTGTAAAGAGTGTCGACCGCTTGCGCGGTAATTCAGCCCAGCCCCACATCCATTCTAATTAGGGTTTCGAGGATTCTATAAATACCCATCCAAGTTATTTTAGAGGGGGTTCCAGGGCTGGAGAGGCTGCTACCAGACTTCTATTTTTTTCTTCAAAGCTAGAGAATTATATTAAATGGTAACTAAATTTTCAACAAGATTAGGGAGGATCTTGATTGAAGAGTTTGACTTGTTATTTTATTTTGATTCCTTCATAGATTTTATTGTTTAATTTTATTTTTGAGAGATTGTTAATTATTTTCAAATCTGAAAACCCTGAAAATTATATTTATTAAATTTCATATAAGATTAGTCATGCTCTTTTTATGTGTGATTTGTTAGAATATAATTGATTGGTAGATTTGTTTTGCGGGTTGATCCTTTACTGCAGTATTGTCGATTAGATATATTGTCGCTCTCGGATAGCTCGTAAGGATAGATCAGTTTGTTTTTCATTGAAATTAATTTTTCTCAAAATAAATACATCAGTTATTATTATTGGTTTTCAAAGTTGAATCTTCCGATTGTTTGTTTGGAATGTAAAACATGCAATTGAGTAATAAATAGGAATCAAAGTTTATAACAGTTAAACAAATCAATTAAGTGAACCCTGAAGTCTTGTTATCATAATATTGTTTTCAATCTTTTACAATTATCATCTTTTATTTAAATATTTTTATTCTTAATTTTAGAATTCATCTTTAAGTTTAATTTCTCATTGTGACAACTCTTTTTGTTGATTTAATATAGCTTTCCTTTAGATTCGACATCTAAAACTACGCTACAACAACCGCTTAACCAAAGGGTATTAATTTTGAGGCGAGACATCATTAGCATAAGCATTTCATTAAAAAATTATGCATAAACAGAAGTTAAACATGACATGGTGAACATCAACAAAATAGTTTATCATGCATTTCATAATTAGCTATAGCATGCAAGATTAGTCTTAATATAAATGAGACTTAAATAAAAAGAGTGCACACACAAACACCAAAAACAACCAATAAGTATAAACTAAATGGCTATGGAGTCCATTGTCCACTAGAATGCATATACTCACACTCTAGTAATGAAGCTAGTCTAAGTACAACCTACTGCGTAAAGGTCTCCTTATCTCATTAGTGATCTAGAACATGTTAAACCAAAACATAACACTCGCCTACATATGTACAAGATCATGCATAACATAATCTGTTTATAACATAAATCATCATTAGAAGCATAAACAAAAGTCAAACATGAAATGGTGTACATCAACAAACTAGGTTTTCCTACATTTTATAATTAGCTATAGTAGGCAGGATTAGTCTTAATATAAATGAAACTTAAACAAAAAGAGTGCAAACATAAACACTAAAAACAGTCAATAAGTATACACTAAATGACTATGGAGTCCACTGTCCACTAGAATGCATGTTCTCACACTCTAGTAATGAAGCTAGTCTAAGTACATCCTAGTAATGAAGCTAGTCGAAGTACATCCCTACTGCATAGAGATCCACTATTCTCATTGGAGATCCAGAACATGTTAAACCAAAACATAACACTCGCCTACATATATACAAGATCATGCATAACATAATCTGTTTATAACATAAATCATCATTAGAAGCATATAAATATACGTGCTTGTCATTCAGCTTCCATTCAATTTCTCTTAAGTTAGTCTTTGGCTGATGACTATAAAAGAAATGTGGGAGCTACTTTAGGATGGTAGTATGGTTTCCCTATCATGTTAGCATATGACTTGTGGGATGGATGGTAGTATGGCTTTTCTACATGTTAGCATATGACCTGATTATGTGTATACAGAATATGTTGTTGGTGTTTGGCTATGGTGCTCTTTTGAGTGGAATCTCCGTACACTGCCATGGAGTTTCAAATATCTTCCCATTTCTTCTTTGTATATATGGTTTTCAAGTCTTTTTGTTTGTCTATCTCATTTCAAGGATGTGGATCGGCAGTATGGTGCAATAATCCCTCCATAATTATTCTCCTATATGTCCACTCTGTTTTAAAATTACAAGCCAAGTGAAGGATGAGGTAGTGATGTACAAGCTTAAAGGAAGCTCCATGAGCTGATAAAAAAATAATAATAATAAAAAGGAAGTGCCTATGACTAGGTGATGAGTCCTTGAGCTTACTGCTGATTTTCCACCTTCCTTCTTACTCTCCTGGCCTACTGCAGCTAACTTTTTCTCCAGAAACTGCTTACAGGTGCAGTTTTCTTGTATGTTATTTTCAGTATTTTCTATAGGCTTTATTGTTGAGGATCTGTTTATTAATTTGTGCTGTAATAATGTATGAGTTTATTTCTCTATAATATAATAGTTTATTTGTGGGAACAAAAAATCATTTCAAATTAATGATTGAATCTATATTGTTCTGAATGATTGATGTTTACTTGAATTATATTCTAAAAAATCTGCATGTATTTTGTTTTAATTGTAAATGCAGTTTCAGCTCAAAGGATACAAGGCCTTTTGTGAGAAGCCCGGAATTATTGACGTTCAAAGCCTCTAGAGAAAGTCAAAAACAAGAGTTCAATGAAGAAATAAAGAAGCTTGAGGAATATTTGATGGTGCGATTATCTGTGCCTTACTTGCTTCTAAGTTCCAACCTTGCACCTTTTCTTTTTGGATTTAATATAATATATTATTACATCACAGCCCTACGTACCCACAGATGGACTCTGATTCCGCCCCTAAACCACACATTATGTGCATGTTTTCAAAAGTTTTAGACTATTTCATGTTTTCCTTCTACTGCCTTTATCTAAATCTTTTCAACTCTTTCTTAAATTTCAGAATGATGGAACAAACGAATTCTTGTACGTGGATAATATATTTGGCAGGTATAGATATATTTTGCTGCATTATTATAGTAATTTTGACATTCTTCTAATTATGGAATATCGTTGTTTTAACTTTTTCTTTAATCTGCAGGATATTGTGAGGGAGAATTACAGTCCAGCACTACATGAACTATGCAATTGACTGCGGATGCCATGAATTCTACTGCAATTGGAGGCGGTGTCTTATTTTTTATTTTTTATTTTTTTGGGTATATCTGGAGTTATTAACTTGCTATTACATGACCGATGACCCTATTGTCCCCTCTGTAGAGTCTCAACATGACCCTCTTGGCATGCAAGGAGAAACTACTGCTGATGCTGGATTCTCCGGTAGTCCCACCACCCAGTCCTCACCCACAATGAAAAGTTTTAACGATACCTTGATCCCACTTTTATGTCGTTTCTTACGAGACATGTCACATGGGTGATACAGGTTTTTGACTTTTTATATTTGTGTTCGCTTATTGTAGCTATGGATTATGTTGGACACTAGTTAGGTGGTTGTGTTGAATGGGATATTTGCAGTGGATGTTAATTACATAAACTACATGTTATTTAGAGTGTTTTTTTAGAGGTTTACCTTTCTCTTGATCCCACTTTTATGTAGTTTCTTATGGGACATGTCACATGGATGATGCGCGTTTTATTTTGACGGTGCGGCTTATCGTAGCTATGGATTAATAATGTTGGTGCAGCTATTATTTAGAATGATATTAACTTAGTTACATGAAGGCTAATTAGGGGGTTGTGTCAAACGAGATGTTTGAACTTGATGTTCATTTTATAAACTACAAGGTATAACCCCTCGCGATGCACAGATAAGTAGTAATGTTTTAAGAGTATTGTTACTAATAATCCGTTCTAATGCAATATAGTTTAGAAATTTGAACCCATTCTCCTAAGCAACCCGCAAGCACA